GACCTAGGGGAAAGGCAGTTAACACACCCTGTTGGAAGAATCCTCACCCCACTCTGTGATCAATAGCCTGAGGCCAATCAAGGTTGATAACAATCTGACTAGTAGCCTAGGCGGATCTCTGGAGGCTTTGAGACTGCCTGATCTCCTTCTGGGCCTGGGGGTAGGAAAGCAGGCCCTGGTGCATATCTTGGTCCTTTCCAAAGGCATCCGGCCCCAGCAGAGGGAGCCACAAGCTGTGGATTGCTGATAGACCCAAACAGGATACTCAGGGCCAATCAGAAATAGGGTCTGACATTGTCCTGCACTAGAGATTGGGAGGTGTAGCAGATCTACCTAATATAATAGGTAGACACAAACTCAAACAAGCAGCCAAAATGGGGAGACAAACAACCCCCAAATGAAAGAACAAGAGAATTCTCCAGAAGAGATAAATAAAATGGAGATAAGAAATTTATCTGATATAGAGTTTAGAATAATGATGGTAAAGATGCTCAACCACATGAGAAAAGATATAGTAACTTAAAAAAAAACAAAAAAAAACAGTCAGAAATAAAGAGTGACATAGCACTAATAAAGAACACACTGGCCCTAGCTGGTTTGGCTTAGTGGATAGAGCGTCGGCCTGCAGACTGAAGGGTCCCGGGTTCAATTCCAGTTAAGGGCACATGCTGGGGTTGCAGACTCGATCCCCAGTAGGGGGCGTGCAGGAGGCAGCCTATCAATGATTCTCTCTCATCATTGATGTTTCTATCTCCATCTCCCTTCCTCTATAAAATCAATAAAAACCTTTTTTTTTTTTTTTTAAGAGAACTCACTTGAAGGAATACACAGCAGATTAGAAGGGTAGAAAAATCAATCAGGGAACCAAGATGAAAAAAAACACAATTAAAAAACAAGAGGACAGCTTAAGGGATCCCCTATGGAAATGGTGAATAGGATGCAGGAACCTGTAAATATCTGGACTGAAGATAGAAATTTGGGTACTGATACCCTAGAAATGGAATTTAAGCAATGCATGTGAAGGAGATCTCAAGGTTAAGGTCAGGCAGACAGACCTGGATAACAATATGATTGTAATTGGCAGTGAGTGCTGTGAGAAAATGCAAGTTACAAGTATGTTAACTGGAAGCTGCACCTAGTCTCAGATGGAGGTGGAGACAGGAAGGGCTTCCCTGAAGAGGTGACTCCTGATACCCAAAGCCTGAGTAACTACAAAACCAGGAAAGCAAAAACAAGCAAGCAAGCAAATAAACCAGGGGTCCTCAAACTACGGCCCGCAGGCCACATGCAAATACAAATATTATATTTGTTCCCCTTTTGTTTTTTTACTTCAAAATAAGATATGTGCAGTGTGCATAGGAATTTGTTCATAGTTTTTTTTTAAACTATAGTCCGGCCCTCCAATGGTCTGAGGGACAGTGAACTGGCCCCCTGTTTAAAAAGTTTGAGGACCCCTGAAATAAACAAACAGAGATGGAGTATTCTAGGTAGAGGGCACAGCCCATGCGAAGGCCTGGCAGCAAGTGAGCCCTGGAGGGCAGAAAACAAGCTGCTCAGTCTGGCATGGGGTGTGTGTGTTGAGAAGGGAATCTGAATTAGTCATCACCAAAAGTTTTGGGATAGCCAAACCCAGGTTCCGACCTGGTCCTGACACCCTCTGTGACCTCAGGTAAGTGACCCTGCCTTCAGAGCCTCCATTTTCTCTCCTGTTAGTTCCTGTTCCATAGACAAGGCTTGGGTAGCAGTTCCTTGCCCTGCCCCAACAAGCCCTAAGGTAGCATTAGCCTTGACTATGGGTTTCATCTGTTTTGATCTTTTTATGTGAGGTAGTATCATATTATATTATTTAAGAATCAGTGCATCAGGTTAATAGTTAAGAGTACAAGCTAGGGAGTTTGACCTCACAGTCACTTTGCTTATTTCTAAAATGGAGAGAAAGACCGTTATGAAGACATATGAGCTGATATATTGAAAGTGTTTAGGAGAGTTATTTTTATCAGTATTACCTAAGAATGGGCAAGAGTCAGCCACCTGAGGAATCCAGGTGGGCTCCAGGAGGGAACAGCATGGGTACAGAAACAGAATAATAGCTACTACCAGCCATGGGCAAACTACGGCCCTCGGGCCGGATCCGGCCTGTTTGAAATGAATAAAACTAAAAAAAAAAAAGACCGTACCCTTTTATGTAATGATGTTTACTTTGAATTTATATTAGTTCACACAAACACTCCATCCATGCTTTTGTTCCGGCCCTCCGGTCCAGTTTAAGAACCCACTGTGGCCCTCGAGTCAAAAAGTTTGCCCACCCCTGTCCTAAGCTCTAATCCAGTGATGGCGAACCTATGACACGCATGTCAGAGGTGACACACGAATTCATTTTTTTGGTTGATTTTTCTTTGTTAAATGGCATTTAAATATATAAAATAAATATCAAAAATATAAGTCTTTGTTTTACTATGGTTGCAAATATCAAAAAATTTCTATATGTGACACGGCACCAGAGTTAAGTTAGGGTTTTTCAAAATGCTGACACGCTGAGCTCAAAAGGTTCGCTATCACTACTCTAATCACTTATTTTTTAAAAAAAAATATATTTTTATTGATTTCAGAGAGGAAGGGAGAGAGAGACAGAAACATCAATGATGAGTGAGAATTATCATTGGCTGCCTCCTGCATGTCCCCCCGCCCCCAAACCTGAAACCTGGGCATGTGTCCGACCGGGAATTGAACCACCTCCTGGTTCATAGGTTGGTGTTGAATCACTCCACCATGCAGGCCGGGCTAATCATCTACACTAATAAAAGAGAAACATGGTAATTAGCGTACGACCGCTACCCTTCCCATTGGCTAATCAGCATATCCTTATGCAAATTAACTGTCAGCCAAGATGGCGGCCGGCAGCCAGGCAGCTGGAAGCAAACATGAGGCTTGCTTGCTTCAGTGAAGGAGGACTCCAACGTTCCCCGCCTGACTTGCCGGCCTCTGAGCTGGCAGTTTGAAACATTCTAACAAATATAGGCCGGGATCTCAGAGCTGAAGTTATACATTGTTTCGATTATAGAACGGCAAACAAACCAGCAGCGGAAGCCTCAGAGCTAGAGCCAGAGCTAAAGCTGGCCCAGAATAAAATAAAAAAAAGGAGCGGTTGGGAGCTTCAATCAACAACCGCCAGCCTGAAGCAGCCCTCAGCTCCTCACCCAGACTGGCCAGGCACCCCAGTGGGAACCCCACCCTGATCCAGGACACCCTTCAGGGCAAACCAGCCGGCCCCCAGGCTTCTATCCTATATAGTAAAAGGGTAATATGCCTCCCAGCACCGGGATCAGCGGAGCGGCGAGCCCTCCTGGCACCAGATCAGCATGACAAAGGGGGCAG